GCCTGTGCTCCGCAAATGGGAGAGGCCACAACAGTGAGAGGCCCGCATAACGCAAGGAAAAAAAAAAAAAAAAAAAAAAAAAAAAAAAATGCATCTCCCAGTCAACAAATTGTTTTAAATTGGGCCCCCAAGATTTGCAGAGAAAAGAACAATCGGAGGCCTACTAATATCTGTTTGTGCATTCATTCCTCTGGAGGAGCAGGATGAAGGAAGAAGGACTCAAATTAGTGAAACCAGGACTTGAATCTCAGCTCCTCTTTGTACTTATTTACATTATTCTTTGTCTTATTTATTTATTTTTTTCTAAATGTATTTATATATTTTTGGCTGTGTTGAGTCTTCGTCGCTGTGTGCAAGCTTTCTCTAGTTGTGGCGAGCAGGGGCTACTCTTCGTTGCTGAGCGCAGGCTTCTCACTGCGGTGGCTTCTCTTGTTGTGGAGCACGGGCTCTAGGCACGCAGGCTTCAGTAGTTGTGGCACGCAGGCTCAGTAGTTGTGGCGCACGGGCTTAGTTGCTCCGTGGTGTGAGGGATCTTCCCAGACCAGGGCTCGAACCCGTGTCCCCTGCATTGGCAGACGGATTCTTAACCACTGTGCCACCAGGGAAGTTCTTCTTTGTCTTATTTTTAAGTGTGTGTGTGTGTTTCTGTTCGTTTTGTCCAGGTTGACAAGCTTTCATAATTTTAACTTTGTGTTGGGTAAGCTGTTTTATTAAGGCCATAAAGTGACAGTTATGGACAGATTAACATTAGTGGACCAGTTCTTTCTTTTTCTAGGCTGAGTCTTGTGATTTCCTAAGCCTAAGAAAGAGCTCCACCAGGATCCTGGCTAAACAGATATTCATCAGTTCTTGTAACTGCAGGGAACAGTGCTAAGGTTTGCCCTTATAATAGAATCACTTCTGTCCTCAAGCAAGAGCAGAAACATTTGAACAAGAAAATCTTTTTTTTATAAATAAATTTATTTACTTATTAACTTACTTTTATTTTTGCCTGCGTGGGGTCTTCGTTGCTGCGCACGGGCTTTCTCTAATTGTGGCGCACGGGCTTCTCATTGTGGTGACTTCTCTTGTTGCGGAGCACGGGCTCTAGCCGCACAGGCTTAAGTAGTTGTGGCATGCAGGCTCAGTAGTTGTGGCTCACAGGCTCTAGAGCGCAGGCTCAGCAGTTGTGGTGCACAGGCTTAGTTGCTCCGCGGCATGTGGGATCTTCCTGGACCAGGGCTCGAACCCGTGTCCTCTGCATTGGCAGGCAGATTCTTAACCACTGTGCCACCAGGGAAGCCCGAGCAAGAAAATCTTAAGAGCAGGAAATTTTGTTTTCTTTCCTCCAACCTTCCTTTAATCTATAAAAAGACAGCAGTAGAAGGAACCAAAACAGCCCTCAGCCTTGGGACCTGTAGATGCGGGAATGTTGCAGGAATCTCTGGCTGAGACAAAGAGAATGAAGAACTGATGAGCTCTTCTCTGTCTGCAGGAAAATGCTGTCCAGCGGGGTGTGTACATCAACCATCCAGCTTCCTGGGAAGGTCGCTGTGGTCACTGGAGCCAACACAGGCATCGGGAAGGAGACAGCCAAAGAGCTAGCTCAAAGAGGCAAATTCATCTGCTTCTAATTCCCTCCTGCCACTGTTGTTTTTTTTTAATTGAAGTACAGTTGATTCACAATGTTAATTTCTGCTGTACAGCAAAGTGATTCAGTTATACATATATATATTCTTTTATTAATATATTCTTTTCCATTGTGGTTTATCATAGGATAGTGAATATAGCTCCCTGTGCTATACAGTAGGACCTTGTTGTCCATCCATTCTATATGTAATAGCTTGCATCTGCCAATCCCTAACTCCCAGTCCATCCATCCCCCACCCCGCCACCTTGGCAACCACAAGTTTGTTCTCTATGTCTGTGAGTCTGTTTCTGTTTTGTAGATAGGTTCATCTGTGTCATATTTTAGATTCCATGTATAAGTGATATCATATGGTATTTGTCTTTCTCTTTCTGACTTATTTCACTTAGTGTGATAATCTCTAGTTGCATCCATGTTGCTGCAAATGGCATTTTCATTCTTTTTTATGGCTGAGTAGTATTCCATTGTATATATATACCACATCTTCTTTATCCATTCATCTGTCAATGGACATTTAGGCTGTTTTCATATCTTGGCTATTGTGAATAGTGCTGCTATGAACATAAGGGTGCATGTATCTTTTTGAATTATAGTTTTGTCCAGATATATGCCCAGGGGTGGATTGCTGGATTATGTGGTAATTCTATTTTTAGTTTTCTGAGGAACTTCCATATTGTTTTCTATAGTGGTTGCACCAACTCATATTCCCACCAACAGTGTAGGAGCGTTCCTTTTTCTCCACACCCTCTCTAACATTTGTTATTTGTAGACTTTTAATGATGGCCATTCTGACTGGTGTTAGATGATATCTCATTGTAGTTTTGATTTGCATTTCTCTAATAATTAGCGATGTTAAACATCTTTTCATGTGCCTATTGGCCATCTGTAGATCTTCTTTGGAGAAATGTCTATTTAGGTCTTCTTCTTGCTACTGCTATTTTATCCCTTGCAATGATGACCATTCTCATTATTTCCTCCCAGTCTTGGAATTCAAGAACATTCCAAGTGCCCCGCTGATTTGCTGGTCTGACACTAGTACAATGTTCTATATATAATGGACACAATGAATATTACTGATTTATTTTTCTTTCCTGATTTGTTCATCAGATACCTCTGTGTGAAGTAGGGGTAATTCCTTTTTTAAAAAAACAGTAGAAAATAACATTTAACATTAGTATTAGGTCTTTGATGCTCACTCAAAAACAGAGCCGACAGTTTGTCTCTTTTATATGTTGGTTGGCAGGAGCCCGTGTATATTTAGCTTGCCGGGATGTACAAAAGGGGGAGTTGGTGGCCAGAGAGATCCAGATCATGACAGGGAACCAACAGGTGTTGGTGCGGAAACTGGACTTGGCTGATACTAAATCTATTCAAGCCTTTGCTAAGGGCTTCTTAGCAGGTAAGTGTGGAACTGGAGACTGTGCTGTGGGTCTTGCAATCAACATGGCAGACTTAGCTAAAAGGAAAAGATTCCTCTCCCTCTCTGATACATAGAAATGCTAGACAAAATATAGCCAAAAACTTATGATTCATAGCTGAACTCATTAGTAACAAAGGGAAATACTCAAGAGGCAGAAACAAAAAGTGAATTCAAAAGTTCATAGCAGTGCATAAGAACTAAAGCCAGAAATCTCATACGTGTACCAGAACTCAAAATGGGCTTTAAGGTCTGGAGTCCAAATATCTGTACAGGGATAGGAGATGAGACCTCAGGATGTTGAGGGCTGGGTTGCTGTCTCTATCTGAGGCTCCACATAAGGTTGGGATTCACAAAAAGCCATCTGGTCCTTGGTACAGGGAGCTTAAAAAAAAACCCAGGCCACCAGCTCAGGGACATGACAAAGAAGCTTAACATCTCTTTAGAACATGGATGGATAAACGGTCATCTGCAAGAAATTAGAACTTCAAGCTGACATCATTTATGGGGTGGGGGGGAATTCATTCACACCACCAACTGGTGCAAGAAACTTGAGCTGAGAAATTAACGTAAAACCCCGTAGTATCACATCAAAATTGAGTCCAAGAGCACCCTGTAGGCTTATTCCCTCATAACCCAGGGATTTAGGCCTCCCAAGGGAGGCAGCTTCCACTGATATATACTTTTAGTCAGAAATTGCAACTCATATGAGGAAATAAATCATAAGACAGAGTTGGCAGGGCTTCCCTGGTGGCACAGTGGTTGAGAGTCCGCCTGCCGATGCAGGGGACACGGGTTCGTGACCCGGTCCGGGAGGATCCCACGTGCCGCGGAGCAGCTGGGCCCGTCCGGAGCCTGTCCGCAGTGGGAGAAGCCACAACAGTGAGAGGCCCGCATACCGCAAAAAAAAAGAGAGTTGGCAGATGAAACAAAGGGGTGAAACCAGTGTTTCTTTGTGGGCCTGAATCCGAGCGGCAGGGAGGCATAGAGAGTATCCTTTTTCTCTTGTTTTGGAATTTCCCATTCAGCTTGGGAAGTCTTTCTGTTGGGAGTCTTTCTGTGGAATTTTGCCCTGTATCAAGAGTATGTATGATTCAACTAAAGTCTTAAAATGAAAAAACAGTACAAAATAAGTATGAGGGGAAAATAGAGGAAAGATTGAAGCCATGCATCCTCATTTTCAAAGCATAGATATGGGGCAGATTTCAAAGAGGTAACGGCTGTGGCTGGCCACTTCCACACTCCATCCCCTCTTCCCTGCAGAGGAAAAGCATCTCCACATTTTGATCAACAACGCAGGAGTGATGATGTGTCCCTACTCCAAGACAGCTGACGGCTTTGAGATGCACATGGGAGTCAACCACTTAGGTAAGAAATTGTGTCTCATCACAAAGCTAGAGGGAAACTAAAGTTCTCCTTGGAAAACTTAGGGTCATATGGAGCCTTCTTTGTGGTGTGATTGGACCTTTGGGCCATAACAGACTATAAGTGTATAATAAATAGTGTTGTCCTGCCTGAAAGCTCAGGCTCGCCTGAGGTTCCTCCCACTTTTTAATCTGTGCTTCAGATTCGACTTACCTTAGAACATTTTTGAACAACCTAGTTGGATTGGGGGCTGTGTTGCTTCCTTTGTAGAGACCCTTGTGGCCAGCATCAAGTAGAGGCCACCTGCGCTTAAACAGTGATGTTATTCAAAGTTGGAATACGACATGACTTCGTATTCGTATTCACATAACCCAGACCTACCTCATAGAAAGATGTCTCATGTCTTTGGCTGTTCCTATCTCCCTAAACCGTCACTGAACTTATTCTGTAGTTGATAATGAATTAATGAGGCAAAAAGCCTTATTCTTGAATGCTCTGCCTTCCATAGCTGAGCCTGGCTCACCACTACTCCCTTCACCCTCACATTGGCCCTGAACTCTGCTAATTCTGCTTTTTCTCAAAGGTCACTTCCTCCTGACCCACCTGTTGCTAGAGAAGTTGAAGGAATCAGCCCCATCAAGGGTAGTGAATGTGTCTTCCTTAGCACATCACCTGGGAAGGATCCACTTCCATAACCTGCAGGGTGAGAAGTTCTACCATGCAGGTCTGGCCTACTGTCACAGCAAGTTAGCCAACATTCTCTTTACCCAGGAACTGGCCCGGAGGCTAAAAGGTAGGCTTAGAAGAAATGAGTCTGGAGACATGAGTCAATGGGAAGTAGCTAAAAGCCACAGGAATAGGAACTGTTTTCTGGAGCCCATCCTCTAGACAGGACCTGCTTCCATGGCTCTACCTGGGTATAGTTGTAGTAAACAGTCCACAAGTGAATGTTGGAGGTGACTGGGAGATAACGGGAAAATTCTGAAGGCTGGGCTTTGGCAGTTACTAGCTGTGTGACCTGCAGCAAGTTGTTTTACTTTTCAAGACTTATTTCCTCATATGTAAAATGGGACTGCTTCACGGGTTATTGTCATGATTAATTCAGGCCTCATGAGCAAATCAAGTTTTTTGACTCGTAATGAAACTAGATAGAAGAACTGGCACTGGCTACAACCGTTGGGATAAAACAGGTGCTGGGACTATGGAGGGGGTCTCCCTAACAACAAAGGGTCAAATAAGAGGAAATGTATACTTGAGGAGGGGAGTCTCCAGTCACAAATAAACAGAGGTCCTTGGAATGGTCTACTATGGATTTCCAATAAATAGAACAGGAAATCCAGGGTGGACAATTAGAGTTGCTTAGGATTAAGGCAGGCAGAATTCAGGCTGAAGGTATCAGACACATTAGCCCCATCGTTGGAACAGGATCCTCAAACCACATGGACAGCTGTGAGATGGAGGGTTATGTCTATGCCCAGGGCATAACATCCTTTACCAGCTTGGGATGGTTCAGGGTAACTGGATGGTGAAAACTACCCAAAGGTTGGTCAGGGAGCTAGGGTGGCCTGCAAGTGGAGAGATGGACCCAGCTGTGAGGACCAGATAAAAGCAGAGGCTACACGAGTGAGAAAACCTGATAGGTATGAGGATTAGGTGGGAAATAGCTATGATGTAATGAAAGAAACCTGGGCATGACGGAAGAGTCATTCATTCAGCCATTCAACAGCCACGTATGCCAATGTCCATGCTATTTTACACACCGGATTAGTGGAGTGGTGGAGTGGTTCACATCCAATGGGAGAGAGAAATAATTAGCAAGTATTTATACAACTGTCATATGTAAAATCACATGTAAAATCAATCTAGTAATGCATGAATAATTCTCATTGTAAAAAGTTCGAATAAGATGGAAGTATATAGAGTTATTCTCCTCTCTTCCCTTTCTGCTTTTCTCCCCTCAAGATACCACTGTCAACAACTTGATGTGCACCATTCCAATTATTTTCTTGTGCATTTACATATGTACATATCATACATAAGGAAGTGAAATTCCAACACAGTATCGTAGAGATCTTTCCATGTACTACATAGAGATTTACCCCATTACTTTTGTTGGCCGCATTGTGTTTCACAGTATAGATGTGCTTTAGTTTCTTCATTTCCTAAACAACGTCTAGACAGTTTTCTTTTTGTTGTTGTTATTTAATTATAATTGTGATAAATGCTATAAAGGGCAATTACGAGGACCTATAATGGATTGGCAGGGGGGTGGTGGGGAGAACTTATTCAGTCTGAAGGATCAGGAAGGACTTTTCTGAGGGAGTGAGTTGCAAGCTGAGCCCTTGCAGGATGATTAGAAATTAAATGGGTTAGGGCTTCCCTGGTGGTGCAGTGGTTGAGAGTCCGCCTGCCGATGCAGGGGACGCGGGTTCGTGTCCCGGTCCGGGAAGATCCCACATGCCGCGGAGCGGCTGGGCCCGTGAGCCATGGCCGCTAAGCCTGCGCGTCCGGAGCCTGTGCTCCGCAACGGGAGAGGCCACAGCAGGGGGGGGCCCACGCACCGCAAAAAAAAAAAAAAAAAAAGAAATAAATTAAATGGGTTACAGTGTGGGTGGGGTGAGGCAGCTGAGGGGGCTGAGGAACATTCCAGGCAGAAGGAAGAGAATGCATGAAGGTTTGGTCTCTGCTTGAGAAACTGAGAAAAGGCAGTCATAGTTAGAATGTAGAAAGCAAGAGATCTGAGCTGAGACTGGTAAGGTTGGTGAAGGTGAAATCCAGAGAGGCCACAGTAAGGATTTTAGTGTTTATTCTAAGAGCAATGGAAAACCGTTAAAATGGAATCCTTTTTTAAAACGAGGGCAAGAGTGGATGCAGCAGGTGATTTCTGTGGTTGAGGTAAGAAGTGAGGGTAGCTTGGACTAGGGTGGTGGAGATGGAGGGTAATAGACACTCCTGAGAGATATTTAGGATGTGAAAATCACAGGGCTTGTTGATTGGAGATGTATGGTGAGGTGGTATATCCTTAAGGACTGGTCCTGTGTGCCTGCCTGGTTGAAAGTGTAGGGA